CTATTCTAGACTTGCTCAAAATTCAACACACTTAACTTTGAAGTTTCTAAGTGATGAACTCTTAAAAAGAAGATGCATATTATTGTTGGTATGATTAGTACTATTAATTTTTTTGAGTTCTTTATATTACATGTTGATCCCAGGTGTGTGTGTGTTTGAGCTCTCATCTCATGATAATTACACACACACACACACACAAACAATTGGGCCCCCCTACAAAAATGGGCCTAGGCCACCCTTTAAGTTGGCCTTGCTTAGCGTAATGTAGTAAACATTTTGGGACGAAACAAGAAAGTATATTGTTTTTTATTTAATGCTAGAAATGTGATGATTTGATATGGAATTTCTAAAATAAGACCCCATGGCTCAAAAGTTTTGGGTCTGCTCTGGTATAACACTCATTATAGACACTCTCATCTCATGATAATTTTAGTTAAATGCAATTTCTTATGTAATACTTGTAGTCATACTTATTTTATAGACCTTAGTAAATAAGTATAATTTAAGAGTTGTGTTGTTTGCCAAAGATAAAAAATTTATTTGTATGCCCATGAAAAATATGAGAAAATCTACATTTATTATATAAACCTTAAAACTATGAAAGTACAACTCTTAATTAAAATCTAATACATACATAATAGTGTGAAGCTTAATAACCAAAGCTTGTAATCTATCAATCTAAAAACTAAAATCTACAATTTGAAAATTAGAATAAGCATACACGAGTGAAATGGTATTATTGTTGTTGTTCTTATTGTTATTATTATTATTATTATTATTGAAGTTGTAAAATAGGTGTATATATATATATATATATATATATATATATATATATATATATATATATATATATATATATATATATATATATATATAAAAGTTGTAAATTAGAATAAGCATACACGAGTGAAATGGTATTATTATTGTTGTTGTTTGTGTTCTTGTTGTTGTTGTTGTTGTTGTTGTTATTATTATTATATTTGTGTGTTTCATCTATGCAACAAGCCCTCCTTATATGAGGAAGGTCTTGGACGAATTGGTCGAACCTGGGTAACCTGGGCAACCTGGGCGAATCAACCGAAGAGTCACAAGAGTCCCTTTGGAGGTGCATGCATGGTTTCCGTATACTTCATTAACAACGAGGTACCCATTTGTGTTTGATCTGGTCTCGTAAAAAAGATTAGAGTTGGCTCAAGCCCTCGCCACATCATGACGCATCGCGCGCACGCACACCCAAACACGCATTCGTGTCTGCGTACGAGCATGAGCAAGACGAGCCGGATGGACAGACGACAGTGCGTGATGGGTCCTTTCTTTCCTCCTCAAATTATTTTACCATATAATTCAATGCAAACATACAAATAGTAGAAGATGAAAGGTTTCAAATCTGATGTGGGACACATGGATTTTTGCACTCTCCAACTCCTTCCAAGTATTCGACTTTGTAATAAATTTATCATTCAATCAAACACCATTTTTTGGCGCACAATATGTCGAAATACTCGTCTCACTTTAAGGATAAATTGTCCATAACTATTTTGGAAAAATAATTTTTGTGGACCCTACCGAATTTATGCATGAAGTTATCCCGTTACTAGCGAAAATTCCAACTTATGGGTATAACCAATACGCGGCCCAGACCCGATGGAAAGTGACATGTCAATAATGATCAGTCAACAAATTAATTGTTGTTCGAGAAAGCACAGAATGTTTGGGAAAATGACCGGTCATGGCTTCCTTGAAAAGCGACCGGTCATATCTTTGGCATGGTCATTTTCTTACATAGCCATTTTGGGAGGCGGCCCAAGGGACTAACTCATCGAATTAGCATGATATGGTCAGACTTCAGGGGTTTGACCGATGAGCACAATACTAGGTGAGGCCGCGTACAGAGCCACCACACTATCTTACCCCGCCATCTTCGAGACTTAATGACAAAGCGAGAATCATGCTAAACCGCTAGAAGACATGATCGATTGAGGGGTGATATTTGCGCCATTGACAGTTAGCTCGACGAATGGCGGGTCAAGGGCGCATTACCTAATGTAGATGCTGATTGGCGCTAGGTCTACGCACGAAGAAGGGCTTGTTACCTTAATTAACCCCCTCCACCCAATATAAATAGATTGTAAGAGGTGGAGAAGGGACATTCATTTCATTCATACACACATTTGTACATTCTTGAGACAGAGTAAAAAAATACAGTTTCAAGCACATGAATTTTTTCTTGGTCTAGGTCATCCTTGTGTTCTTACTTTCTGGTGTGTTTGGCTTACTTGATCAAACCTACCCGGTTAAATTTACACCACCACCAACAGTATATCGGAGTAACATAAATCATATCGAGTTGATATTTCAATTTGTCAGTCTCATAAGAAATTTTATGTTTCTAAACTTGTTTGTGTCCCAATATCTAATGCTTTTAAATACGTACGACAAAAGTGATGAGGTGCTGAATTTTGTTGAAGGAATGATTAAAATTAATGAAATTTGCACTAAATAGAACTAAAACATAATTCATTTCCTAATTTAGGACTAAAACAAAAAGTTTTGACTTTATACTTACGAGGTGCAATTGACGTAGGTGGAGTGATTAGGGGGGTAGGAATCATCAATTTCATGAACGGAGCACCGTAAGGAGGCAGTGGCTTCCGTGCTGGATTTCAGTGGCCATAGAACCGGGCTCTTATAAATTTAGATGTATGATATTATTGTATATTCGTCATATATAAATAATATTTTTAAGTCTTTATTGAAATAATATGGAAGATAGAAAAATTGGAAAAACTTAGAAAAAATTAGAAGTTAATTTTTCTACCTTAAAAAAATATGCTCTTAAATGAAAATAAAAATAAAGGCACTTTTTTCCTCAAATGCATAAAATATAAATGAATTTTAAAAAAACTTCATAAAATAAAGACAAATCATGAAGGAACTGTTCATTTGTGTTAGAAAGTTAACTTCTAATCTTTTCAACTTATTCTAGTTTTTTTCAATTTTTTCAAGTTTCTTCCAACTCCTTTAATTCTAGTTTTTTTTACTCTTTCAATTCTAGTTTCTTCTAACATGACTAAAAAAAATATTTACATGTGATGTATATACAATAGGGAGAATCCTCAAGATAAGAGTAAAAACTCATGAAAACACTAAAATAGATCGAAACTCTAAGTCTTTAAGACCAAAATAGGAGTTTACACTATCGGACTCACATAATGTTAAAATGCAACTCTCACAATATCCCTGTCACACTGTGATCTACAGCTGACAACCCCAAGAGTGCCGCTGCCAATCACCGACAGTTGACTGATCACACTGTCATCATTTTTCCATTCCACTGCAAACACATTTATTTGCATCACACTGTCATTATACTTTTCTGTTGGTCTTAAATGACTTATGACTCATTTTTTTATATTTTTATGTTTTTCTCTTATCCAAGGAGATTTTTTATACAATAACATCAAATATCTAACTTTATAACATACAATCTCAAACACGAACAATTTTTTTTATATCCAAAATTAGTTTTCTTGCATATTTATTTAGTTGAATATTTAATTTACTTATTCTTTAAACTGTTTTTTTCAACATTTCTCGGCTTCCTTTAGTTTTTGTACTTTTTTCTAACTCCTAATTTGTACCAATTTTTCCAATTTTCTTCAAATTCTTCCCTATCTCTTCTATGTTTTTACTACTCAATCTAACATAGCCGAAATGTTTGGTCACAAAACGTCATTATTTGAAACGATGTGCTACGGAGTATTTAGCTAAAGAAGATAATCACAAAAAGAGTGAGAATTGACCGGAAAGAAAGGAACAAAGGACTTCTTAGAGGGATAAAGATTTAAAGATAGAATGCGCGAAAAAGTATAGGCATTATCTATTTTTAATTTCTTAGTTAAATTTTATGAAACATTTTTAAATATAAATTAGTTGATAATATTTTTTTTACACCAAGAAACACACCTTCATTACCAAATACAATAATGATGTGTTTGGTGAGCAGACAAGATATGGATTGTGATATCTCCAGATATCCGAATTCTTATTGAATGTTTGGTGATGTCAGAAAAGATATCGAATTCGATATCTCTAGATATCATAAATCTTTTAAATGGAGAATTTTGATATCTCCTGAATTTAGAAGATATCAATATGGGGGTTTGATATTTCTCTCAACCATTAATCATTCTCCGTCATCGGCTACCATTGTCACCCGCGACCACCTCCGTTGCCGGTCACCATCGCTTATCACTAATTAAATCATAATTTTAAATCTCTCCAAACAAATTTGTTTCAGATTTCACTCTGATTTCATAACTCATATCTTACAACTAAGATTTACAACTAAAGCCAAAGCTCACAATCAACCCACCCATTTAAAAGCTTTGTTATATACTAAATGGGAGAAATACCAAAATACCACTTTAATAGCACTTTAATACTCAAAATAGCAGTGCTATTAGTTTTTGGGATGAATTCCCATTTTTGTCCTTAAATAAACACCTAAAATTGAATTATCCTAATTAGGTTAAGAAAAAGTTTTTAGCGGCCAAACGAAGCAGCCGAAACGCAGCATCCGAACGCAATATTACACAAGCCTCACGCGATATTCCTCAGACGATTCCTCTAAAGTCACACGGTCGAACGCATCAGCTTTAGGAAGGAGACCCAGGGTTTCAATGGCAAGTGAAGATGCACTGGACGAAATCCCTCTAAGCAAAAGATTGGAGAAGATACAGGTATGCTTCGTTTTGGCAGTGAATTTGCTTCCAAAAAAATTTTCTCATATAAAGTTTAGAAAAAGTTTTTTTCCCTTAGGTTGGCAGTGGGTTTTTTGTTGAAGGTTCACTGCAAAAACGTATGTGTTTCCCTTAGGTTCTCTGCAGTGTGTTTTAATTTTTAAGGTTGGCAGTGTTTTTTTGATCAACGTAATGAATTTTTTTTTGGCTTTGTTGAACTCGTTTAGGGTTTTTTTGTGAATGTTAGACGTAGTTCATTGTTTTTTTGGGTTTTCGTTTTTTGGGTTTTTCGTTTTTTGGGCTGCTAGTGGCTACTTGCGCTGTGAGGATGAAGAGGAGGCAAATTTTGGTTTGTTCCTTCTAAAAGAAATCTGCTGCGTGCTAGCCTGATGGAATAAAGGGCTTTCCATCTGAGACTAAAAATTTAGTTTTATTTTATAATTGGACCCTTCCATATTTCCAATTGCTACAATTTAATCCTTTTCACGTATGTGTTTCCCGTAACTGATTTTTTTCTTGGCGTTTGTGTTTGTGGATGTGTGTTTTTTTGGTTAGGGTCGTTTTTAAGGGTTTATATTTTTGAAAGTTAGACGTAATTGATATTTTTTTTTGGTTTTTTCTGTTTTGGCAGTGTTTTTTGAGATTTATCGTACTCCACTGAAACGTAATTGTTTTTTAGTGTTTTTGGTTGTGTGTTTTATTGGGTAGTGTTGTTTTTAACTGTTTCATACCGGGTCTAGAAATAAAGTATTCTACCCTAAATAAAAACAGTAGTTTTCACACTGCCCATACCATAACACCTAATCTTGACACTACCAAAATCAAAGTGCCTTTCAAAATACCTAATTTTTCAAAAGGGACAAATACTTGGTATTTCAAAATTGATTTCACACCTAATCTTCAATACGAAGAAAACACAATAATTAAAACTAAAAATACATGGAAATCAGAATAAAGGGATGAAGGAATGAAAATTAAAATTGGAGAAGAGAAGATGATTAGCGACAGCAAAGAAGGAAGCATGGGAGAGAACCTGATGATTGCCGCTGCTGATCGGCCAAGGAATCGTGGGAGAAAGCCTGAGGACGCATGATGGCGGGCGAACTGAAAGAGATTGTGCAGGCGAGCGGAAGGAGAGGTTGGAGTTAATGCCGTAATTTTTAATGAAAAAAAGGAAAAAGGGGTAAAGGGTATGATAGGAAAAGATTGACACCATAAATCGCTAAGTTTGTTAAAAACAATGAGTAGTGCTAGATGCATAATTTAGAGTGACTTAGAGTGCCTATGTAGGGTGATTTCTTTAACTTGTTAGGGTTTAATTAAATGGTCCAAAAACAAAAGAAATATTTGCACTAAATATCGCTAAAACTTAAGTCATTTTCCTAAATAGCACTTAAATTGTTTTATTTCTAAATAGCACTTAATATTGTTCATAATGTCCAGTGATGACGAATATTTACTTGAATAATGACTAATGGATAATGATACATGTAATGCTATTTAGTGAAAGTCATTATGTTTTAGTGTTATTCAAGTAAATTCCCCAAAACAAAGTTGCTTTGGATTTAAAACATTATACGGAGTATATTTTAGAGGGACCAAAAATAAAACAACTGATTTCCTAGGGGCCAAAATTAAAGTAAATTCAACATGAACTCTAAATTTAAAAGAAACATTGAAAGGACTATTTGCAAAAAATAAAATATTTTACATAAATGACTTAATAAAAATATTATTTTCAACCACTCAATTTTCACTTTTCTTGATGTTTGTGACATACCATTTTTTTGGACTTTCTCATATAAAAAAATATTTTTTTAATATTATTTTATTAAAAAACAAATACTTACGAACGGAGCACTGGAGGTAGGGTGGGGGGTTTAGGGGGTGGGTTAGGGGATAGGAACCGTCAATTTTACGAACGGAGCACCGGAGGTGCCCAAAAAACCTAATGGCACCGGAGTGGCACCGTTCTCCGGTGTCACTAGAACCGAACTGTTGATATAAATACCACATGAAAACCTCACTCACTTTAACCAATTAACTTCATTGTCTTCTTTACCACTTATTACTTCATTCACATTATGAAGCTCCTCTCTCCATCTTCTTTTTCCCCCCCTTCTTCAATAATAATATCCCCAAGGCTAACATTATTATTGCTTCTTCGAATTCTCTCTTGCATCTTCTTCTTCTTCGCCATTTTCGACTCCGCCGCCGCGCATTCTTCTGCACGTAATCATTCCGGCTCGCTGGTGGCAGACGACATCGTCGCGGATGCGGCGGCAGCCGCGGCGGCGTTTAGGAACGCGACCGCGATCTCGGAGTTCCGGCTGCTCAACCGAAAGTATCTGTTGAATTGCACGGACATCAACCCTTACATTAAACTGAGTATAAAGTGGCCGTCCGGCGACGACTACTCCGACGGGCAGCTTCTCCCCGACGAAGAGTTGGTTACCGTTCAAGTTGACGGAGTTCTGTTCCCCTCTCCCGGAGACTGGGTTGCCCTAGTTTCTACTTCCCATTCTGAGTACGTAATAATTAAGATCACTAATTTAATTTAATTTCACTTTTTTCATTTTTCTTTTTTCCTTTCTTTCTTTCTTTCTTCTCTTTCTCTTTTCTTAATTTTTGCCTTCAAAGTTGAGAACAAAGACTTTTTTTTAGAGAGAATATTAGTGAGTAATAATAATGGTAATGACTAATGATGGGATAGTTGACTTAGGTAGCTCCCCCCTTAAACGAAGGAGCTAGTCTAATTTGATCATTAATTAAATAAAATTATACCCCTCCCTGTTAAAATTAATTTTTCATTTAAGTTTTTACGATCTTCAATTATATAGTTTAGTATATCAATATCTCTATTTATATATAAGCATATATAATAAAAATAAAACATCTCAAAACTATGTTTCAAAATGAATCTATTAATATTTATATGAAAGTTCAATGTAGTTTTTCATAACATGCAATCAAAGCTCAAAAGTTTAATTTTAGGACGGAGGGGTTTTAGATGTTATTATCTGAATAATTTCATTAGATTTATCTTGTATATCATTTTGGAGCAGAGAAATCGAGTATTTGCCTTGTCAAATCATGATACGGAGTATATATCTTACGGAGTACTTTGTACAAATTTTACATATTTTTGTTGTTGATTTGATGAAATACGTAATCTTTCGATTCAAATTTAATCTTTTCATTTTGAATTTAGTCTTCACGTCGTATATTTTATTCCTTCTAATTTTTTCTAATTCATTTCGGTTTTTTCTATTCTTTTCAATTTCTTCCAACTTTTTTCATTTTTCCAACATCCAACTTTGTTTCTAAAACTCAAAGGAACAAGAATCTAAGTTAGATAACATAGTTTGACCATATATATGTAAATAATAGCACTCCGTAAATGATCGATTTAAACTTCTAATTAACTTATTTCGAATTTTGCGGGAAAAAAAAGATCATAACTATGGCTTATAGTCACTTAGTCTCAAAAAGGATGTCACACTTCATTATTCTAAAATCACAAAAACTTTTGTTTGTACATGCATTTTAATTGATTATCAGATAAAATAAAATATTTTTATCACCTCTTATTTTATAATGTTTTTATGAAGATTTTAAAAATATAAGTTTTTTTGTTTATTTGTATATCAATATTTAAATAAAATGAATTGAAAAAATTTAAAATTTTGATGCGTAATGTGACATTCTTTTTGAAACGGGAGAACAATAAAGATGGGACAACCAGATTCTTTGTGGTCCACTAGAACCGTTGTGACCCTTCAAAATGAGAGATCACAGGCTCCAACCTCAATGGAGACAATAAATGTATGAATTTCAATAGATTAAGAAAATTTATAAACAAATATTATATCATAATAGAGATAATAACATAATATAGCCTTAAAAAATGTTAAATGAAAAATAAGGATGCATGGGATGAGTAACTTTTAACTACTATATGTGCAGTGTTTCAGGTTGTCTCTTAAGTAAGTTAAAGTACTCACAAACTGGAGATTTCAGCAAACTCCCTCTGCTTTGCCACTATCCTGTTAAGGTAACTAATTTCTCCTCCCAACACTAGCTAAAATATCTTAAATTTTAAAAATAATGTAAAATGACAAAAAAAATAAAATAAATTACTTTACTACTCTTTATTTAGTAAATTCCACAAATCATTCTTTATAATAGTGACTTGTCTGTTAGAAGGGTATATAAATTTATCAGAAAGGATTGAAAGAGTTTTTTTTTATTATTTCTGCTTGGCCTTTACAATGGGGAAAACATGTAAATATATAGAAGGAAGATGCATTGAACTAGACAATGATTTTACTGGAATGGATTATGAAATTTGATGAGAAGGTCCAGGTAATTGAGGAAGGTATACCTGATCATTGCCTTCTATTGATTAGGACCCATAAGCAAGACAGAAGGAATGTGGGATTTAAATATTGTGATATGTGGGAGCTAGACAATGATTTTAAATCTACCCTCCAAGCAGTATGGAATAAAGATATATCAGGGAGGTTTATGTATCAGGTGATAAGGAAACAGAAGGAGCTTAAATATCCTCTTAAACAGATTAACAAAAAGTTCCATCTCATCCACCAGCAGTGTGATCTTCTTAGAGAGGAACTTTTTGACATTCAAAGCAGTTTGAAGGGGGATACTAATAATACAAGTCTGCTGGAAAGGGAGAAGCAATGTCTACAGGAGCTTATTTTCAAAAATAAAGCTTCACATATGATGAGAGTGCAACAAGCTAAACAGAACTGGATTTGTGAGGGTGACCAAGGCTCAAAACTGTTTTTTGCCTGGACTAAGAAGAGGACTATCCTCAACCAGATAACTTCAATCATCAATGAAAGAGGGGAGAAGGTTGAGGGCAGAAGTAAGGTAGCAGAGGTTATGATTGATTATTTTCAGAAATTGCAAGGGCATAGAACTTGGACAGAACCTATTCAGGTCGATATCATTAAAATAGGACCTTGTCTGGATGTTTCTCAACAACTTCAGCTGGTGGATCCGGTCTCTAACGACCAGATAAAAGAGGCATTATTCTCAATTCCCAATACCAAAAGCCCAGGCCCGGATGGATTTAACAGTGGTTTTTATAAAAGGAATT